CTATCTATCTATCTATCTATCTATCTATCTATCTATCTATACACACACACACACATGCACACACACACACACACATGCACACACATACACACTCACAACACACACAAACATACATACATAGAATTAGAGGCAGAGTAAATGTTCCACAAAACTTCATATCCTCCTCCATCTCAGATGTTTTCTGTTTTCTTTGTAAATTGCAACAGCAAAAGTTGGCCTTTAAGACCAAAGATCATTATAGGAAGGAGCAATGTTATATTGCAGCATAAAATACTTTCTGCAAACTCTTTTTCCTCTATGAAAGAAAAAAAAAACCAGCAGCAAAAGGGTGAGTAAATGGACAGAATGAGGAAGAATTTGCCATTATTCACAGTAAAAAAAAAAGATAAACTAAATATTCATTCAAAGATAGTATAAAGTAGAATGACTCTAAGTAGAACTTGAAATTCAATTATACAAAATGTTGGTACCCTGTGCCCCTGACCATTTAAATCTGTATGGAAATTGAATGTGTTTACAAATCTGACGTTGATTATTGTTCCATGAAAGAAAAGAAAAGGGGATTTCAGCTAATGAAATGCATGACCTATGTATTTCAGTGCAGGTGTAACCATTTACAATAATTCTGCATTCAAATTATATCTCAATATCTATCACTTCTTTCTTTTCGAAACAGATGAGGCAGTATCTACAATTCCAAGCAGCCCAGCAGATGGAGAAGAGAACCTGGGCAAGGAAAAAGGTACAGATCACACAACCGGCTAAGAAAAACCAAATCCTCAAAGGGGATTTTAAAAAGCAATATTTTCGGTTAAGCCTACGAAAACCCACGCTCAAGCTTTAAAGGCCAGATGTCAGATAAGTACTTCTGGGATGTCTTTTAGAAAGGCCTTTTTAATGAACCACTTGGCATCCTAGCTGCCAGCGGGGATCGATGGCATGCATTTTCAACTGCAGTTATTATAGATTTCCCATAAAAAAAATAGCTTGTGGGTCATAGGGAACTGCGAGGCACATATCTATGGGAATGCTCACATCCATAAATGTACACTTGCTTCCATGACAGCAGCATTTGATCCGGTCTGCTGTGTTCCAAAAGGAAAGAAAACAAAATTGACTATCCAAGGCAGAGCTGAGGGAAGGTCCTCTTCATTTATGACAGACTCTGCTGGGCACTCTGGTCTTTGTGTGTGTGTGTTTGCTTGGTTTGTTTGTTTTTATTTATTTTGTAGTCTTGATTCTAGTCCTGGCAATGACATAGATAAGTACCTGCAGTTTTTCTAGGCAGGTTGTTTTGAGAAGTGCTTTAGTCTTTGATTAATACTTAAAAATCAAGGAGTAAGGAGCAAACAACAGAGAGCTCATACCTAATTTAATCTTTCCAGCTGAATTTTACCCCCTTGGGTTGCTCATTTTTAAACAAGGAATGAAGTGTAGAATCGCACTGTTCTGGCATGATGTCACTGCATTAATTGGGAATGCTTCCTTTTCATTCTTCTGGATCCATCAGTAATGAGCATGAAACACAATTTTAAAAATTGTAGCTTTGAATAATTCAAAGCAGGGTCTTTCTGTATCAGCATACAGCATTCAAACAAGCACAGTGGAATAATTAATGCATTATGTGGTATAATATATTTATTTATTGCATCTGTAGAGCTCCCCATTATCCTAAGGAAATCTGGGCAGTGAACAAAAAACCTAATCAAATAATGACAATGTAACTCAAAAGAAATTGGGTCAAGTTGCCTAAATTTTTTGTTATCAATGTCAAACAAAATTACAACCATGCCAGAGCTCCATCAACAACCCAGGCCTCAGTTTTGCAACCTTTAGAAAGACCAATAAGATTGCGGCTGCCTGTATTTCAGGGGGAGGCAGTTTCATAAGACAGGTGTCATGACTATTCAATCACACGTAAGAAGTGAAGAAGGTGAACTTAACAGTGATAGACCAGATCCATTACCAGAGCAACAAGTGGGAAAATGTGGTTTAAATCCAAAACAAGAAATCCAAAACAAGAAAATGTGGTTTAAATCCAAAACAAAGCTCAATCAGACACCTTCCAAATTCACATAAGTAGAAGGGATGAGAGGAATAAAGCACACAGCCTTGCAAAATTCTGTTGCTACAACCAATAGTAATAGACATAGTTTTAACCTTCATGTAGAACTGATTTCTTGGCTTGGTCTACAGCATGCTTCGTGAGGCCCATCAGGTAGCAGTTTTATCAGTGAGACTTGGAGCATGCCCACTCTGCAAGATCAAGTAGGAAAGAAAGAAACCATCAGGGATAGTTAATGCCACAAGATCTTGCCCCATGACATGTGGGGCTTTAAAGAGGAAAACCCACATCTTGAATTGCACCTAGAAGCTACCTGGGAGGCAGTATTATTCATGTAGTAGTGTTGTATATCATGGCATTCTGCATATGCTGTTGTGTTTTGGGATAGTTAAATAGTTGAAATGTCTGAATGCCAATTAAGGATAGTGTGATGTACTACTCCCTTTGAGAGATTACTGAGGTGTGGATGACTGTGAGTAATGCTTCTTAGTCTAGGAATGGGCACAATTAGTGCATAAGATATAACTATGGAAAGGTAGCCCTAACTACCACCAACCCAAGCAAGACCCATGAGCAAGATAACTCCCAGATTGTGTACCAGTTCTTCTATGGAGAGCATAAATTCCATCCAAAGCCAATTCTTTCTATACTTGCTCTACACACCCTCCAGGCACTGAGAAAGCACTTCAATAGCATTACTTTGATGGTTCAGGACAGACATACAGTATATAGCTGAGTTTTATCAACATACTGTTGACAGTTAACCCTGCCCTATCCTGTGCTGCAGATAACCTCACCGAGTGGTTATGTATAGATGTTAAAATAAGAGTAGGGGAAGAGCTGAGTCCTGTGGCACCCCACAAAACAGAGGCCTTGAGCTGGAACTTGAGCTTCCATCATACCACCTAGAACCAACCTTGGAGGAAGGAAGTGAACTCCTCTCTCAGGATGCCAGGGGAATTGGTCATGAGATTTACATTTTTGCATTCATATCAATAAAAGCATGTGTCTAAGGATGAGGAGCATTTCCTGCTCCCCAAGTTCTATGCAAATAACCTTTTGATGGGAATATGAAGCAAGATAGAAGTAAACTGAGCAAAGGCTTAATTGCATTGATACCAAGAATGGAAAGGTCATTTACATTGAAAAGGAGAGACTGTAGGCTCCTTATCTGTTTTTTGAAGAATAGGTTCCTTAACCTCTGAACCTGGCTGCTTAAAGGTGAACAGTCCATAACTACAGGGCAGGTGGCTAAATTCTATGTAGAAGCACTGGGGATTCATTGGAAACACATGTCTAATCCACCATAGCTGTTTTATACAATATGGCAAACCCATTGCACTGCTTATTCTTTTCCCTTTTAGTATTAAACTGACTACGGGCCACACCATTTATGAATTGTAATTTTAGTATGGTTAGACCATGTTTAATTGACAGATTGGATTTTATCATGGATTTCAGTTGTTATTTATTATTTTATACTAGAATTTGTAATTATATATTTACTGAGTGTTTTTATTTGTTCTGGTCTCTGGTCTATGACTGTAATAATAATAAACAGAATCTCCTGAACCTGGCAGGACTTCCTTGGAAGAAGGAGTAGAAAAAGACTAACTTGATTAGTAAAGACTGATCAGCAAAATAGTTTTTATAACTTTGCTCTATCTGCTTACTTTGATCCATCCATCTTTGGACTAAGTAATTTGACGGAGGGTGAGGGAACTCTTAGGTGGCATTTTTCCAACTGGTACACTCTCCAGTTTATACAAAATAAAGAGAGATGCCTCATCATCATCTTCCACTCCAAGGGACAAATGCTGACAAGTTAGAATGGCAGGAATCATAATTCAAGTTTTCTTGCATTTCAGCAATGGTTTTTTTATAGTTTCTTTCTATCCTTGACACTGATAGGTTGCCCAATAAGTAAATTACCACAATATGATAGACGGACATCCTCAGGAGAGTCAAAGTCCACAAGATGGAGAGTGCAGTTTTGCAACCAAAGACTTGTATCTTTTGTATATGTACAGGCAGTCCTCAACTTATGACCACAATTGAGCCCAAAATTTATGTTGTTAAGTGAGGTGTTAAATGAGTTTTGCCCCATTTTATGACCTTTCTTGCCACAGTTGTTAAATGAATCTGGCTTCCCTCTTGATTTTGCTTGTCAAAAAAATGCAAAAAAATGATCACATGACCTTGGGACACAGCAACGGTCATAAATATGAACCAGTTGCCATTCACCTGAATTTTGATCACATGAGGGCTGGTACAAAGGTCGTAAGTGTGGGAAATGGTCATAAGTCACTTTTTTCAGTGCTGTTAACTTTGAACGGTCGCTAAATGAACGGTTGTAAGTAGAGGACTGCCTGCACATGATGGCATTATTCACACATTATTCATGCCTTCCGTCACAGCAACACAATTTTTCACAGCACAGAGATGCTGCTGGTTTATTGGGTCAAGAATGATACTTTGGTTTCATTTAATTCCGATTCTGGATTTAGAACTTTCCAAAGAGCTGAGGTGGCGCAGTGGTTAGACTGCAGTACTGCAGGCCACTTCAGCTGACTGTTATCTGCAGTTCAGCGGGTCTAATCTCACCGGCTCAAGGTTGACTCAGCCTTCCATCCTTCCGAGGTGGGTGAAATGCGGACCCAGACTGTGGGGGCAATATGCTGATTCTGTAAACCGCTTAGAGAGGGCTGAAAGCCCTATGAAGCAGTATATAAGTCTAACTGCTATTGCTATTGCTAAAGAGCAGCCAGCAAACTTTAACTATTTCTCTATTTTCATTTATACCACAATGAAACAAAGAAGAAACTGATGAAGGATTTAAAAGAAAAGAAAAGAAACATGGTATATACCACGCCGCCATTTATGAGTTGCTGCTATTCTTGCTATGACTTTACACCTGATTTTTTTTTTTTCTTAATTGTTACACGGAATCTGAACAGGGGCACCTCGTGTCTATTAAATACTTAAATGAGGTAGCATTTGTAAATAAGTTCATATTTATTCAGATTATTTCCCTCTCTACCAGGCCAGAATACTGCTTCCACCAGCAATATGATACCTTGCAATGTCTGCAGCTTGTTCGGTTTCTTTGTCCTACACTTGAGATTAGTCTTGTAATGTTCAGCTCTACCATCTGGTCTTTCTTTATTTGGCTTGTCTTTTTCACAGGAAAATCCCAATTGCTCTGTAATTTCTCCCAGTCCACTCAGGCTCATCTCCAACAGAACCATTCAAGTTCAAGCGGTTTCTTCAGCACAAAGTTAACCCAAAGCTAACCATTAATGAATGGGTGCAGCTGTGCGAGTCCCAGTATGAAAACACACACACACACACAAACACAGAGTAATAACATTTTAGGACCAATTTAAGAGAAGAAAGGCGCTTATTTAAGATTCATTTAAATTCTAATAAACAATGATAATATATTACCCTATAAAGATTTAGCAGTTAAAATGACTCACTCTGGACCACTAATAATTCACTGTTTTCAAATTATTACAGCATTTATGATTGAATATTCTCATGAATGCACAATTAAACGTCATCGGTTTTTTGAAATAAGCTTTCATGCTGTCAGTGGATTATAAAAAATACCATATCTTTTTCTTTTAAGTGAGATTCAGATTTAAAGTAGAAAATCACAAAGAATAATGAACTTG